CACTCATGCGAGCTTCACGCGCGATGCGATAACAGACATCTTGGCATCAGGAGCAGCTGTGGAAGCTCACTCTGTTGGTGAGCTCACTTGCATCAGCCCCCTCAATGTCGTGGAACAACGCGACAAATGTCGGTTGATCTTGGATTTGCGTCGCGTGAACCAGCCTGTGTCTCTTCACCAAGTCCACGACATGGCGCAACACTACCTATCCGCCACAGATCCTGCAGAATTTCAAAAGGGACTCATCCCCCTGCTCATGTATGCTGCATTCTTGAGATATTCAGATCTCGTGGCAATTCGTTGGGAAGACATCCAATTCAAGGAGGAGGTTATGTGGATCCTCATCCCGTGTTCCAAAACCGACCAGGAGGGTCGTGGAATGTGGGTCCCAGTGGCGGCAACACCGGGCCCGTTCTGCCCAGTACGCTGCACCCAGCGCTTCATACAGCTCACGCAATACGGGCCTCTCACTCACGGGCCGTTGATCCGTGTTTTTTGTCGTCGTACATCGGCATCATCCACACCCACCTCCCCTTCATACACGACCATTCGCAATTGGTGCAAAGAAGCATTCGCTAAAATCGGCCTCAGCGACACCCACTTGGGAACCCATTCATTCCGCAAAGGCGCTGCCACCATGGTTGCGAGTGCAGGAGTCCCAGACCGCGTCTTCCAAAGGCTCGGTCGCTGGCGCAGCAGTACGGCTAGGGACCTTTACGTGACAATAGCAACCCAAGATTTGGTGTCCACCTCCCATCGACTTCATCAGGCTGACGCCGCACCTGCTCCTCCACAGCATGAGCACGCCACCATTCGCCAACGACAACCCTTGCTTCACATGCTTCAGAAGACCCACAAGCAATAAAGACGATGCTTATTGCTAGTCAAGAAGCAAGCTTTCTCAATATGTATTTTTCTCCATTTCTCATCCAGCTACTCTAGCTCCTCCCGTACCTCACGCCACTCTCGCCACTCTCACCAGTCACACTATAGCTCATAGTAAGGTAAGCCTTACTCTCTCCTTTCTTAACCTCATTCTAGTTGAGGGTGGTTTTTTCGACCGTTTTCTTCCTCCGTTACTTCCTCTTCTCCTTGCTCCTTAACATCCGATTGAGAACTTCCAGTCGTTCCCATGCTTGTCTTTCTGCGTTTTCAAGTGCATCTCAGCCTTTAGCGCCGTCATTATTGTCGTTCCCTTCGTTCAATGTTTAGCGTCGGAATAAGAGACCTTAACAAAATTCTCTTGTTTTCATCCGTGTTTGTTTCTTTGCATAAGTTGTGTTGTAGCAGCATGTCGTTTCCATTTATCGTGGATGTCGTTATTCAAAGGCTGCAACCCAAGATGCTACGTCCTTCTGAATTGTTGCATTTCAATTTGAATCCTACATATGTTCTTTCGAAACCGTAGTTCATTGATCTCTCTCTATATATCTCTCGTTTGTTCTCTCGTTCGTTCTCACTCGTTCTCTCTCTCTCTCTCTCGTTCTCTCTCTCTCTCTCTCTCTCTCTCTCTCTCTCTCTCGTTCGTTCTCTCTCTCTCGTTCGTTCTCTCTCTCTCTAATGGTCCGTGTATTGATATATTTTGATAGTACACACATGCAAGGTATAGTGCGATGTCTAGTGAACCAAACTGACAACCGAACAAACAAAGCAAACATGCCATACAACGAGCACACCACCATCCTCTCTAGAGCTCCAGAAAAGGCTCAACCACCGCGAAGCAGTCCCCAAGGTGCATCTCCTGCCCTATGCCTCCAACTGGAGGGTTTTCTGCCGCCGCCGCCTCACCCAACTTAAGTAGGAGCCCCACTGACTGGGCCCTCTGAAGAGCTACCGACCATCTCTGACGGAACTGGTGTAGGAACTTGGCGGCGTAGAAAGATTTGGAGTCGGCGTTGAAGTGTCGCCGAGCCGCCGTGTCTGCTAGGAGTTTGAGGAAGGTGGGTACCTCTGCGCATGGGCAACCGTAGGTGTCTACGGCTAGCGGGAAAAAGCCAACCGTCTCAGGGCGGTTGGCGTAGTGCTTAATCTTTTTATCAGCTTGCTCCCTGGCCGCCCACCCTCTGCCCTTTTGTGCCTCGGGATCCCTGGTGCTGATGGGATCCGTGACGGTGACGTCACAGATATAAACCGCCCCACTGCTTCTGTCCGTCATACTGAAGTCGGCCGTCTGTTCCTCGACAGGGCAGTATGCGGCTGACTCTCTGTGAACTATAAACCCGGCGTCTTGCGCCATGCTAACACAGGCATCCCGCAGTTCGTTGTGTGTGTTGATGCGATGTTTGCCTGTGCCGCAGCGGAGTAGGTGATTCGGGAGGCGGGGGTCAGTGATAGCTGTGTGGTCGGCGCAGTCACAGTTCTTTGGGGTTGAAAACGGCAGCCCCAGTCGGAAACGTACGGCGTTGGCGTAGTGTACTGGACCTATCCGCCGTGTGGGTTCAATGGGGATTGCAGTGAGCCAGTCGCCGGTGCCGTAGCCCGTCAAAGAGAACATCCGCTGCGTATGACCCTTGAGCGGATTCGGCTGCATACGCCTTGTAGCCTGGACCTGTACGGCGTATCTGCTTCCGTGGACCTTAAGACCGAGCACGTGTTGGAGCCTCACGTCAGACCGTTCGAGCCGCTCCTTCTCCAGGATTTCTCTTGCATCTAGAGGCAGGGCCCTCTCGCACTCTGTGAGCCACGTGTGTAAGGGCGTGTCGGTGTCCCGAGGCAGTAGCATGTGATTCTGCGCTAGTGCCAGGGCGTTCCGTGGGTCTATCGCGAGGGAGGAGAGAAGCAGCGCCGCCTGTGTGAAACTCGCCGAAAAACCGTATATCCCCTCTATCAGGGGGTCAGTGATGCCTATGCCTCCCAGCGATGGCGGCAGCGACGCTTGCTCCCAGACTCGCGTTTGCTCGGTCCTACACGTGGGGACGCGTATGTCGCATGATGTGAGCAGGGCGGAGAGGATGTCCCTTCCCCACTGGCTCCATTTTTCGCGGGGGAGAAAATGTAAGGGCGTCGTCCTAGTAAGGTAAGCCACCCGACGAGAGATACATCGCGTGATGAGCAGTGACGCTACTTGGGGGTCGGTTTTTTCGAGAAGGGGTAACGGCTTCGCCATCTCGTCGAGTTGATCCACTAGATACTTGGCCGCTCCACTATCCGGCCCTAGGAAACTACCCAAGAGCCTCACGCCGTCCTTTAAAAACGGCACTCCATGCGGGAGTTGAGCTTGTTCAACTGCACTCGATCGCCAGGCTGCGCACTTCTGTGGGTTGTGCGTAAGGCCCAGCTGTGTCAGCCTGTCAGTGAAAGTGTTGAAAGCCGCTACAGTGTGGGCTGTGTCACCCAGAAAGGTGACGTCGTCCGCATACGCCAAACAAAGCACGTCGGGGTGTGTTTCTGCAACTTCGCGGAGGGCGGCGTGTATCCCTGCTGCAAACAGAAGTGGGCCCAGGGGGTCACCCTGGCGAACGCCTCGTTCACTTGTCAGTGATTCGGAGTTGAAGTTGGCGTCCAGGAGCAGTTGCGACGGGTTACCGTACGTGAATTTCACTAGCGGCAGCAATGGCGAGAGGGCGGGCTCCTGTAACGCGGTGGCGATGGCTTCGCGTGAAATGCAGTTGAACGCATTCGAAATATCTGCCTGCAGGATCAGGCTATCCGGTCGTGCATCCAAGTATGCCCTGGCTGCGTGGATTACGGCCTCTGCACCACCTGGCACTGCCACCCCGAACTGTAGAGGCAGAAAGAATTCACGGGCCGCCTCTCCCATGGTCTGTAGGGCAGCCTTGGCTGCCAGCCTCGTCAGGCATTCGCCAATCGCGATTGGCCTTGCTCCTCCTCCCGGCTTGGCGAGGGCTATGAGTCGTGACGCAGTCAATAGGTTCGCGACCGAGCCTGGTAATTCTCCACCCAGCATGGTGTTAACCAAGGCGTGCAGATGGGTGCTGACCATTGCATTGGTAATTGCCGCGTCGCGTATGTGCTCGAATGTCATGCCTGACGGTCCGGCTCCCACCCCATTTTCGCATCTTCCCAGCATTTTGGCGAAGTCGGGGTAGGGGATTGACAGCTTTGACCCCTGTGGCTCGGGCCATGTCAGTGCCTCGTGTTCAGCACGAGGGTGCTTTTGTCGCAGCTCCTCCAAAATTTCCGGGCCGGGGGTGCAAACTGGCGTTGACTCCAGGGCCAGCACGGCCCGTCGCAGACTGCCACGTTTCACAAGGCCCTCCGCACGACTGATGACTCCGGTCGTGTCAGGCTGGTGTTTTGGCGGTGGAGGTGAGTTGACTGCGTCCAACGCGTCCTTGTACAGCTGCTCCCATTCGCCACGCTAGAAAGCCCGGAGCCGGGCTTTCACATGTGGCCAGTTCGGTCGCTGCGGCGAGGTCTGGCGAAGTGTTAGGCGCGGGAGAAACAGTAGCAGGCGCCAGGCCGTTTCAGACTCCGGGTTTCGCGATAGGTGCAGTAACGGTGTCAGGAGTGCTAGCGAAAACAGTTGGCACAGATGGGGCGGTAAACGCCGTGACAGTGGGGGCTGACGACTGTCGCAAAGAGTTGCGGTGTCCCAAGTCACGATGGCAGCGAACAGGTCTGTCCGTTTCGCTAGTTCGTCTGGTGAAAAATAGCGGGGAATTGGTGGTGCAGGGCGTGTCGCGGTGTTCCGTCCAGCGCGGCTCGGTCTTGCTGGATGGCTCAGTGTTGGAATTGGAGTCGTCCGATCGACATCGGACGGTGCTCGAGCCGTCTGTGGTACTTGCGAAGAAGTCTGCTCCACCGCTGCCTCCCTTCTCCTAGGTCTCTCCCTCGCACTGCCTTCCTCTTCCGTCTCTTCGTCCTCGCTCTCAGGGAGCGCCTCCTCCCTATATGTAGGTCATTAAGCTCGTCGTCCTCTGTAATCGTTTCCAAGTCGGTTAAAGCCCTTCTCGCCGCTGCTTGATACCCGTTCTTCGGCCCTCCGCCTGTCCCGCTTATAGGTTGTCTTCTAGCCCCGCGTCCTTCCCGCTCCTGCGATGGTGATTGCCGGAGCACCTGAGCCGTCACCAGAGCTCGTTGCCGCCTGGTCGGCTGCGGTCGCCAAGCGTCCGGCGGAGCCCGAAAGGGCGACCATGGCGACGAAGCCCCCTCTACCGCCGGCTCCGAAACCCGTGACAGCAGTCTCTGAAAAGACTCCTCCCCACGCACCCGCGGATCCCCTTGCCGAGTCGGAGGCGGGACCGTCCGCTCCTGCTGCTGTTCCATCTGCTCTGCCTATGGCACCCGGCCCCCTGGCTCCCCTTGTCGAGCCATCGGCGTCCGCACCTGCTGTGCTTGTTGCGGAACCCCCGGTACCTGTCCCTGGCGCCCCTGCTGCGCCGACCGCTTCTGTCCCCTGCCTGCCTGCGCAGGCCGCTGCTTCGTCACCAAAGGCGGCGTCCGCCACCACTGGCGGGCCGGCTCCGTCGGTTGCGCCTGCGGCGGCGGGCCAGTCCGTCCCTGCTGTGACGGCGGTGGCACCTGCAGGCCAGCCGTCACGCCCTCCGTCGCCTGACCGTCGCTCGTCACGCCCCCATTCCCCCGCTCCCCATCAGGACCGCAGGTCCTCTCGTCGCCGGCGTGAGTCTCCACGGCGGTACCAGCAACAGGCGCACTGGCCTGCTCACCCCGGGGGTCAGGGGGATTGGAGGGGTCCCCGTGGTTTTGGCGGGGGTGGGGGGTATCGCCCGCCTGTAACGATGGCGGATCTCCAGCGTGAAGTGTCGAGGGCGGTTCGGGAGGAGAGGGCGGCGCAGAGCCAGAGTAGTTCGTTGCGCGCCTTGCCAGCCCACGAGGCTCCACGTCCAGCAGCTCTCCCTCCGAACCTGCAGCCTGTTGCCGCGCCTCCCCCTCAGATCCAAGCGCCACCTGCTCCCTCTCCCACTGTATCGGCATCTGCTCCCGGTTCTCGTCTCCATCTGCCGCCGCTTCCGCCCGTTGCGGGCGTGGAGTTTGTGGCCGCGGGTGGCGGCTCGTTGGCGGCTCCGTTTGCTCTCCCAGCTGATGCTGATGGGCCGCTCCAGTTCCTGGCGGAGGCACTCCAGCCTCCGCAGACCCGTGTTCCCGAGGCAACTCTCGGACAGCTACACCGCCTCGCTGACAGTCTCCATGCTCTGCTGCTGATTCAGGTGCTGGCCCATTCGTCGCTCCCTGTGATCCCTCCTGAGACCTTCCGTGCTCGCCAACGTGACCCTTGCTTGGACGCGGCGGACCAGCTCGCGGTGCTGCTGGCGCCGGTGTTGGCTGCGCCCGCGGAGGGTGGCGCTGCTGCTGCAGGACAGCTTGACGAAGCTGTCCGGGGCCTGAGGCGGCACTTGCGCGCAGGATCTGGAGCCGCGGCGATCGGCGCAAGCACGCTTGTAGTCCGGGAGCTGTGGCGCTCCCTGACGGGCGTTCTTCACGCCCTTGGAGCTCACCGCATGTAGGTGCGGGCTCCGGTTGCCCCTTTGATGCCATGCCTGTCTAGGTGCTTGTTGAAACCGTCATTGTGTGTATGTCCTTGCTTAGTATCTATTGCTCTTGCCGCCCCTCAAGCGCGGCCGAAGGCCGCGCTGTCGAGCGTCGGCCGCCGAAGGCGGCCGGCGCGAGCCGCTCGGTTAGGAGAGCACACGAACCAAGAACTGAATAATGAAGCTCCAGAAATAGATACCAGGGCCTTTATACTAGGCAGGAGAGGGCTGGAGAGGCTATGGACTATGCCTCTCTCTCTCTCTCTCTCTCTCTCTCTCTCTCTCTCTCTCTCTCTCAAGCAGTCCTTCATTGATAGGTTCATAGAGGTACAGGCATGGCAGGAATAGAGCTAGGCAGGCCTAGGCATTTGGGGCTACTCATCATGCATGGCAGGGGCGTGAGGCGAGCAGAGCATCTGCACACAGACAAGCCGGTCAGGTGAGGCAGGCCAAGCCGACAAAGCAGACCAGCAAAGCAGGGCACTGTAGGGCAAGGCCCAGCACGGCTAGTAGTCCAGGCAGGCTAGTCATTCAGGCCCAACCTTGCAGCAAACGAGCCATGGCTACTTCACTGGCCTACACCTACTCCCGCCTACTGAGCCATAACAACTTCCAGCTCATCCTCCAGCACTTGCCAGAGGTCCCCCAAGCTAGGTTCCCAAGGGTCCCTAGCAGCCTGGGGGAACGCTGCCTCATCAGATAGGTTTGACTTGTTCAGGTAGGACGTCGCCTGGGAGCGCTGCAGCATCATAGACCAGCGCTGCCGGTAGTGTGCAGTGAGCCGTGCAGTCGTCGTTGTCAACTTCCCCTGGCGGTACTTCTTCTTGGCTGCTGAGGTGGCCAGTAGCCGTAGGAACTCCTGTGTGTCCGAGGACAGAGCCCCATACGTCTCAAGTGCGAGGCCAAAGAAGCCGACGTAGTCTGGCCGATCCTCATATCCCCTGTGCTTCCTAGCCGAGGCCTCCTCAGCCGCCCATCCTGGTGGTTTCCGTGCCCTGGTGTCGCGCTGCTGGAGCACAGGGTCTGTCACTGTCACGTCTGTAACCCAGGTCTCGTTTGATTCCCTGTCTCGGATCGCCAGGTCTCCCCTCTTCCTAAGGATCGGTGGGGAAAAAGCTGATGTCTCGTGGAAGCACGTGAAGTCCGCTTCCCTTGCCATCCTAAGGGCTGCAAACACTAGCGCGTTGTGCGTTCTAACGACGTCGCCCCCGTACCCGCACCTAAGGAGATGGTTCGGCAGACTCGTGTCGTTGATGTCTGAATACTCTCTCTTGCAGGGACACTTCTCAGTGACCGGCAGGGACATGCCCATGCGGAACCCCAGCGCCAAGGAGAACTGACCAGGGGCAAATGTAAGGTCAGCTCTCGAAGGCACGGCATGTAGCCAGTCCCCTGCCCCCACCCCCTGTAGGCTGATGAGGCGGATGGCGTGCCCGCGGTGTGCGCCTGGGCGGTCAGTGATCGTGTCAGCCAGCAGTTCCGCTGCTCGTCTCTCGTGGATGTGGCGGGAGAGTAGTAGCTGAAGGTTACCCTGTCCTGCCGGCTGCTCCCTGAACGCCTGTAGTGCGGTTCGTGCTGATGCCGGCAGGGCTGCCTCCAGTGGGGCTAGCTGATTGATTTCAGGTGGAACAGGGCTCCACGCATGGTCGAGCCGTGTGACCGCCCTCTTCAGCAGATACGCCTCTGGCAGGTTCATCTGCCGCAGTAGGGTGTGGGCTGCCGTTACTGATGCGATGTAGGCTGCCGGTGCCTCCGAGGTAGGGTCAATGATGCCTAGCCCCCCCAGCCTGACGGGGAGGGTTCCTTGCCGCCACAACAGGCTCTGTTCCAGCTCACTCGCTGGGACCCGTAGCTTTGCCGCCGCCAGGGCTGTCGCCATCAGAGTCTCGCTCCACGACCTCCACTCCTCCCTCTCCAGCACTGTAGCCGGGGTGGTCCGCAGCAGGTACGATATCCTGCGGGAGATGCTCCTCGAGAGTATTAGCATAGCGTGCTGTGGGTGCAGCTGAGCAATCAGGGGCAGCGGTGCGGCCGCTTCTGTGAGGCTTGTCTGTGCCCTGTCTGTGCAGAAATCGGCCGTGCCGATCGGGCTTCCCAAAACTCCGATGCCGTTGGTGTTCATTGGCAGGCCCTGCGGTGGTGGGATCTCATTCCCCCCTTCCGTATCCGGTCCCCACCCCGAGGACTTGGCGATGTTGCAGCGGAGGCCAACCGATCAGAGCTCCCTTGTGATGGTGACCAAAGCCTCATAGGCCGTGTCCCGAGGGCCCACAATGGTGATGTCGTCGGCGTAGGCGACGATCGCCACCTCGGGGAGGAGCGTTGCCGTGCTCAGAAGTGTCGGTTGGATTGCCGTTGCGAAGAGGAGCGGACCGAGCGGATCACCCTGTCGAACTCCTCGGTTGCTCATGATCTGATCGACGCCAAGCTTGTGGTCCACTAGGAGCCGAGACGGGCCGTCGTAAAGCGTGCGTACGAGGGGGAGGAGTGATAACAAACTTGATTGCGAGAGCGCCTGAAAGAATGCCGGCCGTTTGACACTGTTGAAGGCGTTCTCAATATCGAGCTGTAGTGCTACTCGGCTCTCGTCCTCTTTAAGCAGTGATCGGACTGAGTGGACGATGCACTCCGCGCCGCCAGTGACTGCTACCCCAAACTGAACGGGGAGGAAGTACTCGTGAATGGTCTGTGCTAGTTCCCTCAAAGCCGCCTTTGCCACTACGCGAAGTATTGCTTCTCCTATCGCGATGGGCCTAACGCCGCCTCCCGGTTTTTCCAGAGCGATGAGTCGCGAGGGCAGTAGCAAATCGTGGACCGCCTGGGTCTGGAAGGTGCTAAGGAGGTAGCTGATAATTTGCGTGAGGAGTATGAGCACCTCCTCACTCGCGAGCGCAGGGTCTTTGAGGTGTTCGAAGCAGGTACCTGATGGGCCTGCTCCTACTCCGTTCGGGCATCGCTTGAGTATTTCACGAAGGTCATCTGGTGTTACCCGCAGCTCCGAATGAGTGTAGCCGGAAACGAACATTGCCGGGGGCGATGCAGCATCGGGGTGTTTCGCCTGCAGTGCAGCGAGTGTCGCTGGTGTGGCCTCGGCGAGTGGGGTTGCGCGTAACGCTGCAACTGCCTTCGAGATGTTACCCTTCTTCATAAGTCCTTCCGCCCTAGCACAGAGTCCAGCGTCATCGGCTTGGTGGCGTGACGGGTTCTCCGTATCGGGGATGACCTTAGCCTCCTCGAAGAGTTCCGCCCAGCTGCCTTGCTGGAACCGGTGCAGCCTTCCCTCAATCCCAACCCACCGACTTCCTTGAACTGGTTCGGGAAGGGGCCGCAAAGACAGCCTCGGGAGGAATTGCAGGATCACCCATGCACCTGGACAGTCGGGATATTTCTGCAGGCGTAGGAGTGGTGCCAGCACGCAGAGGGTGTAGCTTTCCAAAATTTTGGGGGGCATCCTCCGAACCAAGAAAGGTTGGTCCCCCCGCTGAAGTGGGGCAACTTCCCACGTGGCTGCCTGCTGCCAGATGGCCTCGTTTGCCGCCAGCTCGGCCGGTGACTGTACGTTGGGTTGCCCGGTTTCTCTCTGGCTTCCACTCGTCACTGCTCCGATCTCTCCTCGTTCGTGGGGGTTTCTCTCCTGGGGGTTTCTCGCACCGGGGTTTCTGTCCTGGGGGTTTCTCCCAATCTCCCTCCGTCCCCTCTCTCTTCCTATAGTGTCTCCCTCCGCCTCCAGCGAGATCTCTTCGGAGGTTTCGGGGGTCTCAGCTACATAATCCCCCCCATCCTCCCCATTCCCAGTGTCCCTCTCCTCCTGATTCGTCGGTGGCGCCTCCTGCTCCGGGCGGTCGTGGCGTTCCCGCCACGTTCCTGATCTCACAAGCACCTCCCTTCCGCCGACGATTGCGCCCCCGCCCCTTCTTCCCCCTCTTGCCCCGCGTCCTCCGCCTCGGGCCCTACGGATCGGCGCTCCTTCCCCGGTCCGGCTCTCGTCGTTCCGCCCCCCTCGTCCGGCCTGTGGCGCTCTTCCCGCCGGGATCCACGGTGAGTGTGCCAGTCCCAACCTCGGACGGCCTCATGTAATTCCTTGTGAGCGGGTGGAACTCCGTGTTTCCCGCTGTGGGCCTTGTGTAGTCGCTGCCTCCGGGGCGTTGTGTCCTGCCACGTGCCTGACGTCAGCTGCCTCATCGCCTTCCCCTCTTTCTTGTCCCACAGATGGAGGTCGACGCTCTGGCGATAGTGGCGTCTGCTCTTGCTCACTCCAGCCCCGGAGGGGTCCCGGGGCGCCAGGCCCCAGCCTTGCTCCGGGCCGCCTCGGCGCTGGCTGGGCGCGGAGCTTCGTCCCGCCCTTCCCATGAGCGGCGCGTCCAGGGGCGCCGGTCCCGTGACCCCGTCTTCCGCTCGCCGCCTGGTCGCGCTCCTGCGTGTCTGCGCCCTCGGCAGCAGCAGATGTTCCGGCGCTCACAGCAGCCGCCGATACCTCCCCCTCGATCGGGGCATCGGCCAGGTTCCCTGCCGCGGTCGCAGCAGTCATCGCCGCAGCCAACAACGCCGCCGGTACCAGCGCTGGTGACGCAGAAAACGCCACCGCCTCATACCGTTCCCGATCCACCGCCAGGCCCAGTTCCAGCGTCTGCTGTTGTGCCCCCTGGTGGTTGGCAGGAGGTGAAGTTGAGCCGCCGCCAAAAGCGGCGGCAGTTCCGCCAGCCCGCCCCAATGCCGTCACAGCCTCCGCCGGCACCTCCGCGGCAGCAGCCACTTCCCCCGCCACCTCCACCGACACAGTCGCCGCCGCGACGCTTCCCCTTTCCACCGCAGCCGCCGCCGCCTCGCCCCTCGGCGTCTCTTGTACCTCAGCCCTCCTCATCGGCTGTTCCGTCACCGGCGCCGTTGGAATGCCCGCAGCTGTTTCTTGGCGGGAGGAACATCCCAATCCCGTGGGAGGTGATGGGGTATCTGAGGGCGGAGGAGGCTCCAGGTGTGCAGTCACCCCCGCCATCAAATCTGCCATCGTCTCCTCCTCCGCCTGTCGGTCCTGATCCCTCTCCCCCACTGTCTCCGGAGGGGATTTCGCCGCCGGGCTCCCCGCCGCGGAGCAGGGCCCACCGCGTCGCTCAGTGCGTTGGGCACGTGGGGACATGCCTGACGTTGTTGGCAATGGTCCTCGACCAGCTGCACCTTTTCCAGTTGCGGCAGATACGTCCTGGGGAGGTGCCTCCGGTATTGTCGGCAACGGAGCAGGAGGAGGGTGTGGCAGCGGCGATGCAGATGCTGGAGATGCTGCCTTTGATCGGGCTGGTCCCGGACTCCCCTGGCGCCGCCTTGGGACCTGGTCCCGCTGCGCTGAGGCGGCTTGTTCTTGCCGCCCTGAAGGCCCCACGGGACGTGGTACCAGCTGCCGCATCCGTGCTACGCTGGATGGACGGCCGGTTGAGCTGGATCCTGGCCGAGTAGCGGCCCTCTTCCCTGTGCCTGCCTGCTTGGTTGCAGGCCTGGCCTTGGGCTTCCCCATGGCGGTATCTCCTCGCCTGGGGGTGATGTTGTTGTTGTTGTGTGTTGTCACTGGTGCATGCTGTAGCCTTCCATAATTATAGACTTGTCCCCCCCTGGTCCTTGTCACACCTCACGCGCGGCCGAAGGCCGCGCTGGCGAGCGACGGCCGCCGAAGGCGGCCGGCGCGAGCCGCCGGATTTGGAGAGTAATCCTAACTCACCAGTGAATAATGAGCTCACTAGCCTAGATCCAGGGCCTTTATACTAAGGAAACAGGCCTAGAAATGGCTAAGGACTAGATCTTGGAGAAGAGAGGCCTAGAAATGGCTAAGGACTAAGACTATGCCATCTCTCTCTCTCTCTCGCTCTCTCTCGAACGAGCCGCCGGATTTGGAGAGTGATCCTAACTCACCAGCCACCGTCCACCGCTGCCGAAACTGGTGCAGGAACTTAGCGGCGTAGAAAGATTTAGAGTCGGCGTTGAAGTGGCGCCGAGCCGCAGTGTCCGCTAGAAGCTTGAGGAAGACCGGGACTTTCGCGCATGGGCAGCCGTATGTGTCTACCGCCAGGGGGAAAAAGCCGACCGTCTCCGGCCGGTTGGCGTAATGTTTGATCTTCTTATCCGCTTGTTCACGGGCTGCCCATCCCCTCCGCTTTTGTGCCTCCGGATCCCTGGTGCTGATGGGATCTGTGATGGTGACATCACAGACATAAACCGCCCCACTACTCCTATCCGTCATGGTGAAGTCGGCGGTTTGTTCCTCAACGGGGAAGTGAGCGGCGGACTCACTATGAACTATGAAGCCCGCGTGTTGCGCCATGCTAATGCATGCATCCCGCAGCTCATTATGGGTGTTAATGCGGTGCTTTCCTCTACCGCAGTGGAGCAGGTGGTTCGGGAGGCGGGGATCCGTGATAGCTGTCTGGTCCGCGCAGTCGCGGTTCTTAGGGGTTGAGAAGGGGAGTCCTAGCCGGAAGCGCACGGCGTTGGCGAAGTGTACGGGGCCTATCCGTAGCGTGGCTTCGATAGAGATCGCAGTTAGCCAATCACCGGTGGCGTACCCGGTCAGCGAGAACATACGTTGCCTTTGGCCTAATAGCGGGTTCAGCCGCATGCGCCTCGTTGCCTGGACTTGCGCGGCATATCTACTCCCGTGCACCTTCAGCCCGAGCACATGTTGGAGCCGAATATCCGATCGCTCCAGCCTCTCCTTCTCCAGGATCTCGCGTGCATCTAACGGTCGGGACGCTTCGCACTCCGTGAGCCAAGAATGCAGAGGTGTGCCGCCGTCCCGCGGCAGGAGAATGTGGTTCTGGGCTACCGTTAAAGCAATCGCTTGATCTAGCGCGAGGGAGGACAGGAAGAGCGCCGCTTGGGTGAAACTTGCTGTGAAACCGTAAACTCCTTCTATACGCGGGTCCGTAAGGCCGATGCCGCCTAACGATGTGGGAAGTGACGCTTGTTCCCAGATGCGAGCTTGCTCGGTCCGGCAAGTTGGTGAGCGGATGTCGCATGAGGTGAGTAGGGTGGTAAGTAGGTCCCGACCCCACTGGCTCCAGGTGTCGCGGGGTAGGAGGTGGAGAGGAGTCGTTTTAATGAGATAGGCTACCTGTCTGGAGATGCATCGCGTGAGTAGGAGTGCGGCCACCTGGGGGTCGGCACGTTCTATGAGTGGTAGAGGTTTCGTCATCTCGTCGAGCTGTTCCGACAGAAACGAGGTTGCTCCGGCGTCAGTCCCCAGGTAACTACCCAGAAGTCTCACTCCGTCCTTGGAGTATGGCACGCCGGGCGGGAGTTGTGGCTGTGTGCCCGTGGTTGAACTCCAGGCCGAGCATTTCCGGGGATTATGTGCCAGGCCCAGCTGGGCAAGTTTGGCCGTGAAATGTGTGAAAGCAGCTACAGTCCGAGACGAGTCACCCAAGAATGTGACGTCATCTGCATACGCCAAACAGAGCACATCGCGCACCAGTCAAAGAAAGGCAAAGCAAGCTCAGGGTGGATCACAACGTCACCACACACTCTGAGCACAAGCAAAGGGCCACAAGGCCAGTTCACATGCAGAGGCATATATGCAACACAAACAGCACAGTGATTTCTACTTAGCAAAGTAAGCATGCAGGTATATATATACATCACAGTTCAAGCAAAGCCTACAGCAAGTGAGGAAAGGTGGGCACAAGCCTTAGCATAGTGCAGAAACGCTGATGATCACCAGACTGAAGTGCCTTGGTGAATATATCAGCAGTGTTGGCCCGAGTGGCCACGTAACGCAGACGAAGCTGACCACGCTGCTGCAACTCTCGAGCCAGGAAGTAACGCAGAGCGATGTGCTTCGTTCTGTGCTCCAGTCTGTGCTCCTCACACAAGGCAATGGTACCCTTGTTGTCGACGTACAGCACTGGAGGAGAACGAGGCCGCTCTCCCAAGTCAGTCAGCAGGTAGGTGAGCCAACGTAACTCCTGTGCAGCCATGGCTGTGGCGTAGATCTCAGCCTCACAACTGGAGCTAAGAATTGAAGACGAGCGAGTAGAACGCCAAGAAACTGAACCAGAGCCAAGGCTGAAGGTATAACCCTGTGACGACCGCTGAGTAGCCGGGTTGTCAACCCAAGAAGCGTCTGAGTGCTCAGTGAGAACAACTGAGCTCCTCCCTCCAAGCATGAGCCCCATGCCTGATGTACTGCACAAGTAGCGCAGTACCCTCTTAGCAGCATCCATGTGCACCTTTCGGTGTCGACCAGGAGCTACGTAGCGAGCCAGAAGGCCAAGAGGGTACGCGAGGTCAGGACGAGTGCAAGTCATCAGGTACATGAGGCAGCCAACTAGCTCTGGGTAAGGACCACTCGGCTCTACGGACTCGTCCGAAGGTGGAGCTGAGAGCGAGTGACCTGTAGCCAGAGGAGTGGCCTGTGCCGAGGACCAGGTGAAGCCGAAGCGCTGAAGGACCTGCTACACCATGTGCGACTGAGTCAGTGTGATGGTGCGGCGTGCTCTGTCCCGGGTGATCTGCAAGCCAAGGTAGCTGCGCAGTTCACCCAGGTCTGTGCACGTGTGTCTCTTCTGCAGCCCCGACTTCACCAGGGCGAGAGCCTCAGTGTCAGCAGTGGCAAAGACCAAGTCGTCGACGTACACGAGGATGTAGAACGGCGGCAGCGAAGTGTCGGTGCGCAGAAATAGTGACGGGTCAGCAGTAGAAGGCGCGAACCCAAGAGCCGCAAGTGTAGTCCTCAGTGTGTCGTGCCACTCACGTGGCGCCTGGCGGAGACCGTAGACCGGCCGCCGGAGGCTCCACTGGGTACCAGGAGGGAACGACCCAGTGAAGCCAGGAGGGCGGCGCAGCCAGATCTCCTCGTGCAGGCTGCCCTGCAAGAAAGCTGTGCTCAAGTCAAGAGAGTGAAGCTCGTAGTCACGCTGAGTGGCAACGTGCAGTAGCACCCGAAGAGTGGTCATCTTCGGGGTGGGGGAGAAGGTCTGGAAGAAGTCTACTCCCTCTCACTGACTGAAGCCTCGAGCAACGTAACGAGCCTTGAAGACAGGCGGAGAACCTGGCGGCCGCCAGGTTTAGGCCCAGCAGCCTCAGCTCCACCGGTAGCTCCAGCAGCTCCAGCACCAGCTCCAGCAGAGCCCCCAGTGCCAGCAGCTCCAGTACCGCCTGTACGAGCACCTCCAGGAACAGAGGCTCCAGTACCTCCAGCAGCACCAGGGCCTCCAGCGGGCGGCACCCCAGTGCTAGGAGCGCCGCTCCGGAGGCTGCACCATCGAGCGTACCACTCATGCAGCCGCTGTGGGGAGGGAGGCTCCGGCCGCGACACAGCACCCGCAGCACAACCAGCTCCAACTCCGGCAAAACCCCCAGCTCCAGCAGCCCCACGCTGGAGGCTGCAACGCTGAGAGTACCACTCACGCAGCTGCTGTGAAGAGGGAGCGCCACCAGGCGCAGCACGGTCAGTCTCAGCTCCCCCAGGCTCAGCACCGCCAGTCTCAGCACCCCCAGGCTCAGCACCCCCAGTCTCAGCACCCCCAGGCTCAGCACCCCCAGTCTCAGCACCCCCAGGCTCAGCACCCCCAGTCTCAGCACCCCCAGACGCAGTACCTCGCGCAGGACCAGAGTCGACAGCTACCTCGACAGGCTCGACCGGGTCTACCTGGGAAACACCTGAGGGAGCAGGACCCTGGGGAGGGAGGGGGTCTACCGAAGCAGCACCTGGCATGAGGAAGAGCGGCGGAGGGGGGAGCGGGGCAGTGCGGTAGGGGAACAGACGGTAAAAGGGTACCGACTCGTCAAAAAGTGACGTTCTGAGAGGGGAAGACACGGCGCGAGGTGGGGTGGTAAAACTGCCAACCAGGCGCATCAGGGACAAAGCCAAGGAAGACACAGGGAACGGCACGGGAGGAGAGCTTGTCCGCGGACGTATCGCAGACAAAGGCTTGACATCCCCAAACCCGGAACACCGACGGATCGCCAACCTTCCCCGTCCAACGCAGTGTGGGCGAGGTCTCCGGAGCAGAGACACGGGGCCAGAGGTTGAGCTGATGCGCAGCGTACT